TACTTGTTTGTTTTAATATTTTTTTTAAATGTCCTTGTAAGTGATAATTAGAATTTTTGTTGATAAGAAAACCTAAACTAACCCATGAGAGACATCCTTGGTGTGCACTGAGAAGGAGGGATCTCAGAAAGAGGCTGTGCACTGAGGCCGTAGGACCCAGTTTTCCTGTCACTCTTCTTAAAGTCTTATTCTCAAGGTGAGGTCTGACAAAACTAACAGTAATTAAAACCAAACAGGGAAACACATAAAAGCAGAAAGCATGGAATTGGGTAACAGATTCTGCAACTTTGCCTAGGCATGGAAAAATCCTAAATGTCTTCAGAAATCGCTTTCCAGTGAGACAACAGAAGGTGATAAATTAGTTAATAAAATTTGACAATTAACCCAAGGAAGTTAATCTTACATTAGTCAGAATTTTCTCTATGAATAGTCTGCTGGGCACAGAGAAAATTCTTTTGTCCTGCATGAGCTGCTAAAAGGCCCAATATTTCCCAGGATTACCAGAATACACAGAAACAAGTGATTGACCCAATGTAGGGTTGGGTGTGAAGGAGCACATGTCCTTCAGCTGAGCATAGTGGTCTTTGCAAGCAACATTGTCCAAACAAGCGTTCCTATCTCTGATGATGGACCCTCTCTCCTCACCTTGAGCAATGCTATTTTGGGCTTGTGTCACATCTCATTCAACTCTCTCTTTATTATCTTCAGCCTTTCCCTCTTTTGGGTCATTCTGATTTCACTGTCCTTGAGTTGTTGGAAACTTTCCTTTGTTTCTCTGTCCAGTGTCACCAGTTGAAATTGCTCTTACTCAAAGAGAATGAAGCATTATCTGATATTGAGCTTCAGTCACGTTCTTCCTTAAAGCTACATAGTCCTGCAGAGATATTTATTTGAAAATATTGCATGTCCTTACTCTCAAAAAAATCCCCAAAAACAAAAAAAACTTAGCAGTTATTTTTTTTTCCCTTAGCATCATCAAAAAATAATTTATGAATTGGAAGACAAGACCTAAAATAAGCCAAGACATCTAAAATCGATGGATTCTCGATAAAGTTAACAAAATCAAACATGGTTTGTTTTTAATTATATGAAGGTTTATTTTGTAATATAGTATCCATCTCTGAACAGTTCTTGGGAGAACAACAGAATATAAATTTCATTAGGTGCATGTAGGATGAAAGTTCTTTCTTTCTTTCTTTCTTTCTGATCTTTCTTTCTTTCTGTACAACAAGGATTGAACCCAGGGGTACTTTACCACTAAGCCACATCCCCAGTCCCTTATAATTTTTGAGATTCGATCTTCCAAAGTTGCTTAGAACCTAGCTAAATTGTGAAATCTAGCTTTGAAATTGCAATCCTCCTGCCTCCATCTTCAAGCTGCTAGGGATTGTAGGCAAGCATCACTCTCAAAGCATGAATGAATCTCTTAAAGTTGCACAGGAAATACTGAGGGGGGACTCATTGGTAGAGTACTAAATCTAGGGAGCTCTGGGTTCTGGTGAAACTTGTTGAATTCATTCCCACCACCACTAAATAATGATAACAACAACAACAACAACAATAAAAATTCTCATAAGTTTTCAGCATGATCATGAGGCCTAATTATTTCACCCAAGGCTTATTTTAGTGGAAGAATTGATGACAAAAATCAAGTAAAAAACAGTAGGCCCATATTCCCAATAAAATATCACACACACACACACACACACACACAAATTACCAAAATTAAACATAATTTTTAATTATAGAAAGGTTTATTTTTTCATATAGTATTCATCTCTGAACAGTTCTTGGGAGAACAACAGAATATAAGTTTCATAAGGTGCATGTTGGATGACTGCTTTTTTCTCTTTTCTTTCCTTTTTTTTTTTTGGTAGCAGGGATTGAACCCAGGGGTACTTTATCACTGAGCCACATCCCTAGTCATATATATATATATATATATATATATATATA